TTTAACATTACAGAGACTTCGAGCAAACATGAGTTCTACGTTACCCCACCTCTTCCGCCAGCCTTTTGCCGCCGGTAACGTGTTCAGTACATCTATGCTCGACAGTCTACTGTACCAGGTATCGTATTCACGATAGCAGTATATATCAAATGAATTATATAGAATATTGTTCTTGATGAATCCGCGTCATATTACACGACTAGAATCTATATTTTGATATTTTCTTCCATTGGTTATTTATTGAACCTAGAAAAAGGAACAAAAACATGGACTTAATTATTAGCATTTTAGGAGATCAGTACCGCATTTATTAAGACTTCACATAAATATGAACGATATTTTAATTAAATTTAAAAGATCACATCTAGTCATCACAGAGTTAAAACAAATATGGTTATTAAATTAATTCCTTTTTATTCGTTTTTTATGATGAAAAATGGTGTTTTAATAAAATCATTATGTAAGGAAAACTATTTCGAACAGAACACCATTTAAACACAAATACATTAGGAGTTATCATGATTCGACAGTAATTCTTGTATCTACGATAATCTCCCCTGATTCATACCTTTTCTTTATTGTATAGACGTTTGTAAAACGCTACCTGATCACATTTGTTCGTCTCCTGATTGGGATTGACGCTGAAAACAACACGGGCCATTTATCAAGCGTAAGTGTCATATGTTTGTATATGTAATGCTATTATTTAAATGTTAATTTAATTATCGTTTATATGTATCTTTTGAAGTACTTGTACTGTGGTAATATTGCTCAAAATGGTGTGCTTGTCAAAAACAAGTCAATACGATAACTCACTAAATGTAGTTGAGACTTATAAGATGATCCCTTACGGATCCCTGCCCACGCCGAAGACACTGGCGTGGACGAAACCTTTTTTCAGTATTAGTGAGACTTTGATAAATCATTTCTTTGAATTAAACAACACCTTGTTAAACTTTAAATTTAAAAATAATGAAACAACAACAGCATTTTGTGTGTAAAATTCAATTAGGCCTGAACAGGATTCAAAACGCCTCCGATTATCATATTGAGGTACCTGTCCAACGTTAGAACGTTGGCCAAATCGCTGTACATTTATATCCGAAGTGAGATGAAAGGGGGGTAACTGTATGTACGAAACCTAAACTACAATTATCTAGCCCTTTAGCAGAAGGATACTTAATTTACCAGAAAATGTTACTGCTGCAACTTGAACGTAAAGATTGACTATTTAATAATTTGAAGTCAAGAACATGTGTTTTACAACAGATACGAGTGAACGGCATGACATTCTCTTCCTACACTACGTTTGGGGAACTGTACTATGGGCTGGCGTCCACAACAGGGGAAATCCCGTTGGCTATCTATCGAACGGAGAAACCCGTAACTGGCTCTATGGTAAAATAGCATATTTTTTAAAATCTTACATAAATCGCCATTTCGAAGTGACAGTTCGCAATGTACATGTATGATATACATAGTCAGATAGCTTCCATGTCAAACATGTAGTCAGCACGAAGTACATAGTACATTGGTTTAATTATCGCATTTGTATAATGTAAACACTATAATATTTTTTAAATCCTGAACAATTAAATTCCTGTGATTGTATTATCACGCTTGCATGAGAATGCTAGTAATATGAAAGTTTAAACAAAGTATGCAAAAAATTGATTCGAAGGTTAAAAAGCAGCAACAAGGACAGAACGGCCATCACGTGGGTCAGTTCGGCAACACATGTGACACATGTGACACACGTGACTATGTGTGTAATAGGCTCAGCAGCCTCGGTATGGACACGGAGGCATACGGTAAGTGATTGATTCAGGGATACGCTTTTATCACGTAATGTACTGTGTTATCCAGTGAATATACCCATG